CTACCAGTGTTTTGATTATGCCTCTTTTTTGCTGTGGGTGGTGGTTGGCGTTTTTGTGTAGGTACCAGTCTGTGTGGGTGGATTTTCTGCAGACCTTGTGTCCCAGTCAGAAATCAGTTTTGCGTAGGACCATGACATCTAAGAACGGGAGCTGGCCCTCTGTTTCTTTTTCCATGGTGAATTGTATATTTAGGTGAATGCTGTTGAGATGGTTGAGAAATTCTTCCAATTTTTCTTCACTGTGGCTCCAAATTGCAAAGGTGTCATCCACATATTGGAACCAGACTGTGGGTGCGAGGGCCGCTGAAGCCAGGGCCAGTTTTTCAAAACGCTCCATGTAGAAGTTTGCTATAACCGGGCTGAGGGGGCTGCCCACGGCCTCTCCATCTGTCTGTTCATAGAATTGATTATCCCAGTGGAAATAGCTGGTCATTAGGCAGTGTTGGAAAAGGGCCTTGATGTCTTCTGGAAAGATCTGCTGGATGAGTGTCAGGGTGTCCTTTATCGGTACCTTAGTGAACAGGGATACTATGTCAAAGCTAATCAGTCTGTCCCCAGGGTTAAGTTTTAGGGTGCTGATCTTGCTTATGAAATGTCCTGAGTCTTTGATGTAGGATGAGGTTTGTCCAATGTGGGTCTGTAGGAGGGTCGCTAGGTGTTTGGATAATTCATATGTTGGGGAGCTGATGGCACTTACAATGGGCCTGAGTGGGATTGAGGCCTTGTGGATTTGGGGGAGTTTGCTCTGCACCACCTAAGTAGTGGTACCAAGGCAGCAGAAGTTATAATAATAACCGGAGTAATTAAATGGTCCCTGCATCCGTGCAGCTGTCAACTTCCAATGAAAAGGAGGGGAAAAAGTGGAATTCTGGTGTTTTTAGCACTCATGAGAAGTAAGAGGGAACTAAATGCTAGTGTTCAGGAATCTCTGTCAGGATTAGGTAGTAGAATGTTACCATTAGGGCCACTTATGGGGAGGGGGGAAAATCTAGTACCTCCCTGTGAGCATTCTCAGGCATAGAATGATCTCAAACTACAGTCACTTTGTTATTACTTTGTAAGTAAGGATAAAGCAGATTGTTGCCTAATAACAATATAAAGCTACCAAAGAAATCTTCCATTACACCTAAGCCTAACCTAATGAATTTCCCTCAAACATAAAAGCAAAATGAATGGCAGCTTTCCTCCATTAAAAGCAATTCCTCGTTCCTCAGGGAAAAGTTTACTTATTTCCAGTTCCGTATTTTTCAGAAGCATTAACATCATGGAAATTGAGCAATTACCCTTAAATTATAGAGCTAAATATTGTGTCACGGCTATAAAGAAAATAGTATTGTTCCATACTACGGCAAGATTTTCCCCCCTCATCCATAAAAGCGACATTTCTAGGTTTTCAGTCTCAGCAAGGTTTCTTTTGTCAACAAGCTACCATTTCAGTTAAATTAAGTAATAGTCTTCATGCTGTATTTTGTAGAGAGTGAGAGTGAGAGTGAGTGAGTGAGTGAGTGAGTGAGTGAGTGAGTGTGTGTGTGTGTG